AAGACACTGATTTTCACCACACTCATGAATAATGCATTCCCACAACAGGAGAGTGATGCCAAAAGCAGTTGAGAAATTAAAAAGTTCAAACCTTTGCTCAGAGCAATACTGATGCAAATTTTTGGCATAAGCACAATAGAGAATAGCAGAACTGGACTGTGTGAAATTGATTTTTTTTAAGTTGGCTTGAAAGATATAGAAACAAAACTTCCATGTCAGGAATGCTACGGCTGCCACTAAAATTGCTAAAATGCTTAACGCTACCTACATAGAGTAGGTTTCTGCAGATGGAGACCTGAAGTGTTCTTATAACAATAGGCCTATTTGGATTAGTCTGTTTCTTTAAAACTTGCCATTTTGAGTCTCATGTTGGAATTTTTTTTCATTTCAGAAGTGACTTGAGAAACTGCAAGTCGCTTCTGGTGTGAGATAATAGCCCATCTGCAAGGATGTTGTCCAGGGGGACACCCAGATGTTTTGATGTTTTACCATCCTTGTGGGAGGCTTCTCTCATATCCCCACATGGGAAGCTAGAGCTGAGGTGGGAGCTCCCCAGATTCAAATGGCCAACCTGTCAGTCAGCAGTCCTGCTGGCACAAGACTTTAACCCATTGCACCAAAGGGAGCCCCTCTGTTATATGTTACATATTGCTTATGGCTGTCAAAAATATGAGCAATCTAAAAAATCATGCAAGTTACTGTCAAACAAGAAGACATTACAAAATTTTGTAATATTATATGGTGTGACAGTTTTGAACTTATTTATGTGATCAGCATCAAAAAAATGTATTTGGTACACAAAAAAATTGTAAGGGAAACAAAACACCTGTTTTTCAGTGTTATGGGAGCCTCAGCCCTCACCACCCAATAACTTTTCCAAACTTTGCTTTGGAGCTCGCTTTTTTGGCAACTTTACAGTTAATTTTTAACACTCTTCTTTCCAAAGAATCAATAAGCACAAAGATAGGATGCTCAACCTTTCCTGTGCCTATCAATTCTCTTCTGAAAATGCCACCCCACAGGGTGTTTTTAATTGCATTTTCCTCCTCTTACTTCCACTTTTAGCATTTATCTGGGAAGGAAAAACACAATTAACTGCAGCCAGAGGGATATTTATAGAGAAAAACCATGGACGGGGGAAAAGATAAGAACACATATCTCCCACCGAGCCTATCTTGAGATTAGGCAGAGCGAGGCAGCTGCTTCATGTGGTTGATCTGGGGTACCATGGAAGTGTAGCAAATTATTTTTTCCGTTTTTTTTTTATTTGCATGAAGAGCTTCTTTGGAGATTTACTGCTCCAGGTACCAAGATAACATGCATTATGGGTGAATATCATGCAGTTTAATTTGGAGGGATAGGGGTATAATTTGGTGTTCTACTTCAGGCAGTGTTCAGTGAGTGCCATGACCCTCATCAGCCTATTCTCCCCTTCTCATCGCTGGCTTCCCACAGAAAGGTAAATAGGAGTTTTATATACACATATTTTTCTCACAAAACAGAATTTTGCCTCTCTATAGCGTAATAATAGAGCAATGGGCCTTTCATCCAGAAGTGTTATTTTCATTTCCTTCAAGATTTCACAAATTAAAATAACTGAACACAAATGACCAATCAAAGACTTGGAGTATGATCAAGATGGCAAATGGGTTGTTGTAGGTGTTTTTGGGCTATATGGCCATGTTCTAGAGGCATTCTCTCCTGACGTTTCACCTGCTTCTATGGCAAGCATCCTCAGAGGTAGTGAGGTCTGTTGGAACTAGGAAAATGGGTTTATATATCTGTGGAATGACCAGGGTGGGACAAAGGACTCTTGTCTGCTGGAGCTAGGTATGAACGTTTCAACTGACCGCCTTGATTAGCATTTGATGGCCTGGCTGTTGTTTGGTGTGGCTTGTTACAACAGCAAAACAACAGAGAGGAAACAATCTGGGACATCTAATCACCTCTCAACAAAAGATTGCTCCAGGCACTAACAAGCCACACCAAACAACGGCCCACCCTGGTCATTCCACAGATATATAAATCCCATTTTCCTAGTTCCAACAGTTCCAACTACCTCTGAGGATGCTTGCCATAGATGCAGGCGAAACTTCAGGAGAGAATGACTCTAGAACATGGCCATATAGCCTGAAAAAACCTACAACAACCCAGTGATTCCAGCCATGAAAGCCTTCGACAATAAGATGGCAAATATTACTATTGAGCAGGTATGGGTAAACCCAGGCTCAGGGGCTTGATGCTATCCCTTGGGCTCTTTTCTCGGGCCCTTCTCTCTTCCACCATCCTATCCTATCCTATCCTATCCTATCCTATCCTATCCTATCCTATCCTATCCTATCCTATCCTATCCTATCCTTCCTTCCTTCCTTCCTTCCTTCCTTCCTTCCTTCCTTCCTTCCTTCTCTCTTTCCTTCCATCCTTCCTTCCCTTCCTTTCTTATCTCCCTCTTTTTCCTTCATTCCTTCCTTGCCTTTTGTCTTTCCTTCCTTCTCTCTTTCATCTTTCCCTTCCCTCTCCCTCTATTCTTTCATACTTCCTTCTATCCTTTTCTTCCTCCCTTTCCTCCTTTCTTCCCTCTTTCCCTCCATTCCTTCCTTCCCTTTTATCTTTCCTTCCTTCTCTCTTTCCTCCCTTCCTCCTTTCCCTTCCACCTTTCCTTCCTTCTCTTTTTCCTTCCTCCTTTCCTCCTGGAGGATGTTTAGCTGCGCATAGAGATGGTTGAGAGGGAACATGAGAACCATGTTTCAAGATTTGAAAAGGTGTCCCATTGAAGAGGAGGGGGAGGAAAACTGACTTTTTGCTGCTCTAAAGACCAGGACACAAGGGAGCAATGGGTCCAAATGGCAGAGAAATAGATTCAACTGAAAGGATTAGAACAAACTTCCTGGAGAGTGGCATAGGCAGCCTCGTAGTGTAGTGGAGCCTCCTTCTCTGGAGGCTTTCCCGCAGAGGCTATCTATTGTGAGTGTTTTGGTTGTGCCTTCCTGTATTGCAGGGGTTTGACTGTATTTGCCTTTGGGGGTGTCTTGCAAGGTTAGGATTCTATATCAGGAGTAGGAAATATGGGATCCTATGGATACACTTTTTCTCTCCCGTCTACCATCAACTCCCTCCAAGTCTACCCACCCTGCTCCGGCCCGCCATGTGGCCCCCAAGTTAGAAAGTTTGCGCATGCCTGTTATTGAGGGAGAACAAATCTATGACAGGCACTGCAGTTTGCTTTTGCCAGAATCTACTGGTCTCTGCTCTCCTTACCCTCTTGTTGAATTGATTTGAACCCCATTTGCAGCCATTGAAAGAAGCTAAATATGAAGGTGGAAAGTGAGAACAGTGAAACAAATTGGGACTTTTTTCAATAACACATTAGAAGTGGATTAGAGAGGGTTAATCAGGAGTGTTCCTGCCAAATTTGGAACATTGGAGGGAATTTCATGCTTCATTACATGGATGAAGGTTGAGTTTGTGTCAGTATATTTGAGATTGCATTGCAAAAAAGAAAACAAAAATATGGCCCTGCACTGTATTCCAAGACAATAATGAGATAAGAACTTCTTTGCTTCATATCCCACTTCTCTCATTAATATTACCCAGGGTTAGATGAATACTGACAAGCTAGAATGTGTCCAGCAAAGGACAACAAACATGGTAAATAGCTTGGAAACCAAGCTCTATGATGATCAGCTTAGGGAGCTGGGTATGTTTCGCTTGGAGAAGAGAAGACTCAGACATGATAGCAGAGCCATCTTTAATCTGAAAGGATGTCAGGTAGAAGAGTGACAGCTTCCACTTAAACATTAGGAAGAAGTTCTCAACAGCCTGCCTTGCTGAGTAGAGGACTTTCCCTCTTCGGTGGTCTACAAGTGGGTGTTGGATGGTCATTTTGCAGATGTGCTTTAGTTTTATATTCTTGCATGGCATCATATTAGATAGTCCTGGTGTTCTTTTCCAACTCTATGGTTCTATGTGCCATTTGAATCAGATGCTTACTGATTCAGACCAGATGCTCACTGCTAATGGATAGCTTCGAGGTTATGCTATGACTGAAAAGTCAGCCATAGAAGAGCACCTGATGAACCAACCTGGACAAAGCATATTCTTTGAGAACACAGAAATGCTGGACCACTCTTACAACCACCATGTCAGACTACATAGAGAAGCCACTGAAATCCACAAGCATACGGACAATTTCAACAGACAGGAAGAAACCATGAAAATGAACAAAATCTGGCTACCAGTTTTAAAAAAGACTAAAATCAGGACAGTAATTAAAGAGCAACACTCAAAAAACAGGGAATTCCAGACAAGAATCAATCAGGGCCAGCTAACACCTCCCAACAAAGGATTCCCCCAGGCAGCAATCAGCCAGGTTTTGAAGATGCAAGGCCATTACATGCTAATCAAGGTGGCCAATTGCAACATTCACACTTGCCTCAAGAGTTCTTTCTCCCACCCTGGATATGCCAGAGATATATAAACCTCACTTGCCTAGTTTTCAACTGACCTCACAAAATATGAGGATGCCTGCCATAGATGTGGGCGAAACATCAAAAGAGAATTCTTCTGGAACATGGCCATACCGCCCGGAAAACTCACAGCAACCCAGCTTCAGTGTTTTATTTTTTCTTCTTATGATTCTTTATCTTTAAACCAGCACAAAATTGTTTGGTTTAAGAAAGGGCAAGTTATCGCCCTACCAACCATGATCGGTGTCAGATTATAGACGACTTCTACTACCCCAAAGCAAGTTAATCAAAGAACAAGGAGGGGAGGTGTCCTAATGGGGATTCTGCACAGTCTTTCCATTTATAACATGTTGGTAAAATAATAATAATAATCATCATCATCTTTATACCTCGCCACCATCTTCCCCACCATCTCTCCATATTTATCAAAGAGCAAAATATATATATATATCAGAAAAACCATTGTGTGCTATTTGGGAAAGCACCTTAAAACATGTCAAAATCAAGAATTTGTGGAAGAAATAAGAAACATACCTTCTGCTTGGTGCTTTGCTTCAAGCTAATGTGGGGCTGGCTTCTGGACTGTGAAATAAACGAGAAGAGAAACATCATGATTTTATTAAAGATGGAAACTGTGCTTTTTTTAAAAAAAAAGTGCAATGACTTCCAAAGTAGGAAGCCTTTTCAGTATTAATTCCCTCTGGGCCATTGTAAGAAGTCTGCTATTTTATATGCAAATGATATACCTGAGCAGGCATTTAAAATGCATTGCAACATGTGAGGATGATGCTTTCCCCAGATAATGCATTATACAGTACATTCTTTATTCAATGCCTGTAAAGCAGTACTTCCCAAAATATCTGGTGTTGCAGACATTTTTTTTCTCAATGTGCTACAGCCTAGTGCCATTTTTCTATCATATTATTTTGCATGCATATGTTTACCTGGAAGCTCACTGTGGATTGGCAGTAGGGTTGCCAGTTCAGGATTGTCCCAGGCTAAAGCCTGAGACCTCTGTGGTTTCACTAAATACTGTGCATTAAATATCAAGCACAGTTGTTTGCAGCTTGTTATTCAAATACAAGGAAGAAGGGAGAGAACATATTTATCTGTTTGAAAATAAACATCTTTGTTAAATGGTCTAAGTGAAATGAAGGGATTATTAGGAAACTAAGAAGAAGGGATAAAGAACATTTAATGTATTGTCGAAGGCTTTCATAGCCAGAATCACTGGGTTGTTGTAGGTTTTTTCAGGCTATATGGCCATGTTCTAGAAGCGTTCTCTCCTGACGTTTCACCTGCATCTGTGGCAAGCATCCTCAGAGGTAGTGAGGTCTGTTGGAACTAGGAAAATGGGTTTATATATCTCTGGAATGACCAGGGTGGGACAAAGAACTCTTGTCTGTAGGAGCTAGGTGTGAATGTTTCAACTGACTACCTTGATTAGCATTTGATGGCCTGGCAGTTGTTTGGTGTGGCTTGCTGGTGCCTGGGGCAATCTTTTGTTGAGAGGTGATTAGATGTGCCTGATTGTTTCCTACAACAACCCAAAGAACATTTAATCTAACCTATTTGCTTGTAGCCAGAATGAGGATACACAGCAGAATGAAGAGTAAGCACTAGTAAGGCAATGAGTGGGAAAGAATAAGGAAGTTGACTAAATAAATACAGCTGTCCCTCCACATTTGCAGATTTAATTTTTATGGAGTTGATTATTCATTTATTTGATCAATATGGCTGCTCTAGCAATTCTACAGTCAACTTCCACTAAAAGTTGAAAATAAAATCACACTGGAGGACCAAGAGATTTCTAGATAGTTTTTTTACTCGCAGTTTCCCCACTGTTGTTAAAGGGTTGATTATACATAGATGCACATCCTGTCTACCTCCAGAAAGTTGCAGCATCAGGTCTAAGAATTGCATGTTGCAGCATCAGGTCTAAGAATTGTAGATTGTAGCAAGCTAGTGGTCTACCCAATGAGCTGGATATATGCACTCAGTCCTTTCCTTTGGCTTGGAACTGAACGACCACCAAACTGGAGAATTTACACACTTGTCTCCCACCTGAAGATTATCTATGAAATTTGGAGTCTCTGGCCCAGGTTCTGAGATCTGGAGATCCTAACTGGCAACCAATCAGTTAGACCAGTAGTTCCCAGGGACCACTTGAACAGGGACAACTTTGACCAAGGACCACTCTCCAACATTAGTATCAAAAGGGTTACGAATCAGTTTTTAGTCAACTTTAGATTCAGTTTGGTTATTTGGGGTGCTGATTCAGAAAATTGCATTGGATAGACTACATCAGCTCTAGTTTCTGATACAAAACATATGCCATCCAGTAGTTACCATTTGCTCATCCACGGAAAACCATATTTAATAATCTAGAGCCACAGATCTTATTTTAGGTCTCGTGGCCCACAGGTTGGGTACCACTGAGTTAGACTGACATCCATCCATGTATCACTATTGAGGTATCACTGCTGTAAAAGCGTGTTTGTAAAACAGATTCATATCAAATTAGGAAAAATTTAGTCCACTTTTATATTTCCAATATGTTCATTAAGTTCTTGTGCTACAAACAATAAGATGTCAATTGACCCACTTTACCTTTAGAATATCAAAGAAGTTGATCTAACATGCCTTGTGGCCATCCATCCAGCATTTTCAAATCTTGCATTTACCTATTATAAGATTTCACAGCCAGCATTTCTTAAACCATTTACCAACAGACCTTTGTTTAAATCCCAACAAAGTCAATGCCTTGTCTGCACAACTAATCCATAGGGCACAGATAGTATGCATGTACTACCTTAATTGGGTCTCCTCAAAGGAGTTGACCTATAGACCAAGACTAGTTTGTCATCGCCTGGGTTATTTGGCTTTTCCCTTTTGCTCAGCTTTGTTCTCCTTCTCTGTATGCAATAATTTATGTGTAGAAACACAATCAACTTTAAGTTTGTTTAGATGCATTCAGCATTCTGCTGAGCTTTTAGTAGATCCAGCTAAACAAGATAAATTTTAAAGTCGCTGTAAAGGGTTTATGGTTGCAGAAATTGGAAACAAACCATTAAATAAATAAAGAGCCTGCTTAACACAGGATATGTTTGTTTATTAAAGCACTGAGCTGATATTTTGCAGAACTGAGACTATTTAAACAAGCACAACAGAATTTCTTCTAGTCCTCTTCATATCTACATCTCTAGATTTGTTGTTCTAAAGGAGGAGTCTGCAAAAGTGGGAGATTTGGAGTTTGACTGTCTAGGACAGTGGCTCTCAACCTTTGGGTCCCCAGATATTTTGGCCTTCAACTTCCAAAAATCCTAACAGCTTGTAAACTGGCTGGGATTTCTGGGAGTTGTAGGTCAAAACACATGGGGACCCACAGGTTGAGAACCACTGGTCTAGGAGCACACAACAAAAATGAGGAAGAAACATAAGATTTTCTTTGCAAACGTTTTGAAGAACTTTGAGAAAGTCTGCAAAGAAAATTCTTCATGCAAAAACAGCATTTTTCATGAAATTTTGCACAAAACTGTTTTCTGCACAAAACTGAAGTTTTGTGCTTTTTCTCCTAATTTAGCGGTTTCACAACTGATATTAAACTATAAACCAGGCCTGCACAACCTGCAGCCCTCCACATGTTTGGGCCTCCAAATCCCAGAAGCCCTAGACAGCTGTTCCAATAAGCAAGAATTATGAGAGGTGAAGTCCAAAACACCTGGAGAACCACAAGTTGTGCAGGTCTGCTATAAACCAAGCTTAGCAATTTAAAAATGTATGCTTTACTTTCATCAATCAAGGTGAAGGTCTTTTGCATGTGTCAATATATGAATATTAACAGAGAGAAGATAACTGTACTGAATTATTTGTATTGTCCAAATTCTCAAGAGCTTAGTAAACTTGCTTCTCAGACTGCAACTCCCAGGATTCCCCAGCCACCTTTCCCAATTCCTCTTCTCCCTGAAGGCTGTTCTCAACTCTGCTTGCTGAACTGAAAAACATCTGGCTGAGTTAACAAGATGAACATCAGCAGACGCTAATGAATTTCTGTGGCATGTCTAGGGAGAGGCTAAGGCTGAACTAATGAGTTGTCATTTCAATTATTTAAAACACATTAAAACTTTAGATAAGGCAGATGAAGAGAGTCAGGTGTGCATTTCTCAGGATTTCCTAGGATAACTACCATCAACAAATCTGTAGGTCCCCCTCGATGGACTGTCACCATGTTGTGGTGAGGGGGTTTGCATGTTCCGATGAACCTGTGGGCACAACAACTGGAGTCATGCACTCCCAGGAGTGGCCCGCGGGGGAGGTTCCAGACCAAGCACAGTCCGAAGACTCAAAGACCTCAACGGCGGAGCAGGCAGAGGATAACATGGTACTCTGCGAGTGCAGCATTTTCCCGAATGAAGCAGAGAGTGTTTGAGGACCGGGACATCCGTAGGGATACCAAGGTGCTTGTCTATAAAGCTATTGTCCTCCCAACCCTGCTGTATGCCTGTGAGACGTGGACTGTCTACAGACGTCACATGCAACTCCTGGAATGATTCCATCAGCTCTGCCTCCAGAAAATCCTGCAAATATCTTGGGAAGACAAGCAAACAAACGTCAGCGTGCTGGAAGAAGCAGAGACCACCAGCATTGAAGCGATGGTCCTCTGCCATCAACTCCGCTGGACCGGCCACGTTGTCTGGATGCCTGACCACCGTCTCCCAAAGCAGTTGCTCTACTCTGAACTTAAGAACAGAAAACGGAATGTTGGTGGACAGGAAAAGAGATTTAAATATGGGCTCAAAGCCAACCTTAAAAACTCTGGCATAGACACTGAGAACTGGGAAGCCCTGGCCCTTGACCGCTCCAGCTGGAGGTCAGCTGTGACCAGCAGTGCTGCAGAATTCAAGGAGGCACAAGTGGAGGGTTAAAGAGATAAACGTGCCAGGAGGAAGGCACATCAGGCCAACCCCAACCGGGACCGCCTTCCACCTGGAAACCAATGCCTTCACTGTGGGAGAAGATGCGGGTCAAGAATAGGGCTCCACAGCCACCTACAAACCCACAAAAATAGTCATCAAGGAAGACCATCTTACTCGTCCAACGAGGGATCGCCTAAGTAAGTAAGTAAGTAACATGGTACATGTTACAATGGCTGTGAAGGCGGAAGAAGGCTGCAACAGACTGAGAAACCACGGTCATTGTGTTAAACTACACCACCAGTGGAACCTCACTCTGTGAAGACTGTGTGTTGATCAGTTGTGCACTGACCTCCACATATTAAAAAAAACTCACACAGAGGCGTCTTCCAAAGAAAATAAAAACAAACCCTGGAAGACTATCCTACTCGGCCAACAAGGGATCGCCTAAGTAAGTAAAGGTCTTGTGGTAAGCTGTATTGTATGCACAATGAGAAACTCCACAGACACCATGCTAGAGATTGGGGGGAAGGGCTTAACATAAACATTTATTATTTGTTATCAAATAAAGTGATCAAATAAGGGCCTCCTAGTGGTGCAGTGGGTTAAACCACTGAGCTGTTGAACTTGAGCCAACAATTTGATGTGGCGGCAAAAAAAGCCAATGGG